CCGCGATTTCTGATATTATTTTTCTGCGAAAACTTCGTTGACCTTTGGAGACATCATTAATATAAATAATTTTTATGGCCGTTAAATAAGAAATGTTTCTTTCACAAGAAATGTATAAAATTACAGTACTAAACAGACGATAGGTCGCCTAACTCGCCGTAGCGTGACGCTAGACGGCGAAAAATATATATTTAATTATAATAAAGTTACAATAAATTAAGTTAATATATAATTATATATACAGTACCTAATTTATATATAATTAATATATAATTATATGTACAGTACCTAATTTATATATAATTTATATAATACTGTCCAGACGATAGAAATCTCTCCGTAGCGTGGCGCTACGGACGGCGGGTAAGTAGTTCGGCTGCCCGATGACGTTTTACGTATTATAGGAGTTATTTTTACCGTTGTTTACGGATAATGCCACAATTTTTATAGGAATCATAACTATAGGAAACGGTTTTATAGGGGGATCTACTGTATTTTTATTATTAAATCTATAAAGGCATTCAGTAATAAATAACATTTATAATTGTCTGAATATTTATTAAAATTTTTTAAGAGAAATTCAAACTGGATTAAAGCAGTTGAAATTAAAGATCAACGTTTTTTGGGAGAAGAATAATTACAAACTACATTAAAAATAACATATGGAAGAATAAAAACAAAAAAATTAAAATGGCTTAATTGGCATGAATAAGGGAAAAATTATTATAAAATATTGATTTAATTGTTTTAAATGTAGAAAATTTTTAATGTTGAAAAATTATGTAATTATTACATTTCTTGAACTTAAAGTTTGATTTCTAATTTTCAATGAATTTCATTTTATCTTTATTTTGAAAATATCTTTTTTCTTTAGATCAGGTCAGTTTACAGTGCGTATGTCAAGGGACACTTATAATTTTCTTAAACGCCATGTTCAAGATAAGAAAAACACTGTTTTGCAAAATATAATTCAGGAGCATCTTTATTTAGATGGTAAGTTAATTTCTTATCTTAAAACAGTATAATAAAATTCTTAATATACAATTCATGGCTCTAACTATTAGACAACTTCACTCACAGATGTATTTACCTTTGAACATACATGCTTCATTTAAACAAACGCAGTATTGTTTAATACTTAATACTTAACTTGTTAAATACTTCTTTATTATGAAAATATATTATCGTAGCTTTATAATAATTGAAAAGAATTTACTAGGGCTGGGACAAGGTTGAGGTGAACACTTGCCTCAGGTGAGCAACTAGAAGGGACATGTATGAAAAATAAAAAAATGAATTAAAGCTAGCTGATATGCTCAGCACATAACTCTACCAATATACTAAATATTTCACATTAAAGTACAACATAGCTGATCTGTCTCATGTGCTGAAATTCTCAAAATTTTCACAGTCTTACATATCAACTATACTCTTGCTATATAAAACACTGCATCATAGGCTGATTGTCCGTCATGTTCTAGCTTTGCTTATGAGCATTATTTTGTATTATATTTAGAATTACTGTGTGCTTTAGTCATTTCTAATCATAATTAATGATTTAATACTATGTATTAAATCATTAATTAATTACTGTATTAATTAATTATTCATTAATTATGCATATGGAAGTTCAATAAAAGAATAATAAAGAAAAACCTGATTTAACAACAGCCAATCTTATTTTTAATTATTTAATAAAATAAAATAAAAGTAAAATTTATTATACTCTTAGGAAATCACGTTCAATTTGAAATTCATTCTAAAATCAAACACAAAAAATACTTCTTTTTTAATTTTTTATTGTACACATGATGTGAACAAATGTGTAAAATTATTAGATACATANAAGAATAATAAAGAAAAAACCTGATTTAACAACAGCCAATCTTATTTTTAATTATTTAATAAAATAAAATAAAAGTAAAATTTATTATACTCTTAGGAAATCACGTTCAATTTGAAATTCATTCTAAAATCAAACACAAAAAATACTTCTTTTTTAATTTTTTATTGTACACATGATGTGAACAAATGTGTAAAATTATTAGATACATATTTCAGAAACACACTTGTAGAAAAACTGGAAAAATATCAATAACTCTGTATGGAAATATGCTGGAAAAGTATAGGCGTAGAGTTCTTGATATTAGATACACACACATTAAAAACAAATACATAAACATTGAAGAAAGCTTTATCAATTTTTCAGAAACAAAAGAAAAATTAGTATTGATTTAGCTGGAAAAATTGTTTATAAATTAGAAAAGAATGGTCTCAACATTCAAAATGTTTGACATCAAGAATATTATAATGAGGCAAACATGACAGGAGTATACAGTAATACCTCGACTTATGCTACCCCAACTTACGTGAACCTGGAGTTACGTGATTTTCTAATCTTGTTGATTTGTCTTTTGTTTGAGCGCCATGCAATTCTCAATTACTCACTCCCCCCACACTATTGTTCAGCTTACATGTTTGGACGTGTTGTGCGGAATCGACGCATAGCTACAATTTATTTTGTGTTATTTATTTCTGTGTTTGTTATATCTACAGAGACTTGAGATACTCTATGTGGTGATTTCTTGTAACTGTGAACGAATCAAAAGACAAGATAAGATTAACGAGAACATTTAATAGCTTATATAAAACTGACTTGGATTTTACACAAATTGCGAAATTATACCCCAACTTATGCAAATTCGACTTACACAGTTATCGCTCAGTCCCACCTACCGCGAAGTTCGGGGTATTACTGTACAATGATGTACAACCCAAAGCCCTATGTGTTAATACTAAACCAAATGATCATCGTAATTAATTGGGCTATTTTTTGCTGCATTTAATTAGATTGTATATTCTAATTAATAGTAAAATTTTACAAATTATAACAGTTATTTGTTTCATTTGATGTATACTTGATCTCTGCCTTATTATTCATCAGTAATGTATTCTTTGATTTATTTTGATAATGTAATCTAATTATAAGTAATGAATATTTTTTATTTATTTTAATAGTATATGAAGGAATAACAAGAGCTAAAGTTCAAGTTGACAGCACTGCTGGAGCAGTATTGGGAGAAGCTGCAAGACAAGGTAAGTTTATTTGAACTTTAATTATTGATATAAAAAAGATATTTTTATACAGATTTTTAAGTGATTACTATTAATGTATTATTTTTAACTGTTTGCATGCCTCTTTTGATTAAAAAATATTTATAAAAATAGAAAATATTCATAATTGTTTTTGAAGATACAATAAACACACACTAACTTGAACTATTATAGATAGTGAAGGTTGTCCAAGTTTATGAAAATCCAAATTAGCAGGGTGTTTTCTCCAACATAGTGGAAAAGAAGAGGGTGGATATACAGTAATTTATTACAATCAATTCTTTACAGAAACTTTACTGAGCTTTAGTAGGTTATACTGCTGAATTCATTATTACAGGAAATGAGCTCAAAAAATTTCACAAAAGTACAACACACAGTAATGTAGAGTTTTTAGTAACTTATCAACTATAGTAATATGATGTATGGTATTGCAAAGACTTTTAGATATTGAAAACAGTTATTAATTATAATTTTTTTAAATTGCTATATAATTTTTTGAAAAAATTTGCCACTGTTATGCAAAATCCAAGTTGTCAGGGAATTTACTGTATTCTAATGCAATTAATCATTCATTATGAATCTTTTAGTTTTTACTAATATTATCTGAAGTTTTCAATAAAATCATTTAAAGCATTTGATTTAAAAAATTGTATAAATATAAAATACTAGCTTACCCATTGCACATTGCTGCAATCTCAGAAGAAACGAAATTCAAGCAAACTCATTATAATAAAATTTAATTTACATTTTATCATTTTTATTGAAACTTATTATTATTATTCATTTTCATCGGGAAAACATTTCAAAGTGTCATTTAAATTCTATTTATTTATTTTGTTTTTCTGTCTTGTGCATACACGAATAAATCAGAAGGTTTTCCGATGCGTGAGCTGGCCACATACAATTGTCCATGTGAGAAGCATGGATTCTCCAAATCTAGCCCACACACTTGCAACGATTGTCAGAAGTACAATATTCCCCATTTTTATATATTTTTTTTTAATCCTTTACAATTTTAACTATTTAATTGCTCCTTCCTCTCTTCCTTGGCATGTTGTGAAATTTCTGATAGTTGGATAATAAACCGTTTTATTGTAATTTGTCTTTTTAAATTATTTTGAGTCGATATTAAAATTTGAAAAAGGGGGATACCTAGATAAGTACAATAGGCGAATTTCTTCCTACAACTTCGGTCGTTGTTCGGGATACAGTTAAGATTTTAACGAAGTTCGAGCGAATACGTAATTAGCAAAAAAAGTCGAAATAAAGTGATTAAACAAAAATTATTA